TCTGCAAATGGAATGAGTATTTTTACGCTTAAAATAAGATAAATTAGATAATAAAACAAAGCAATTGTTTTTTCCTATTTTAAATGTAAATTGTCTTGTTCCACTGGCAAAGTGTCTCACTTACCTCCTCAATTCAAGAAAAAATTAACTTATTTTAATAAAATTTAACTTATCTAGATTTCGATTTTTTTCTTATGCAGCACTGGTGTTTTTGACGACAGTGCAGCACTTTATACATTAGAAAAAGTAAAAAGATACGTTTCTGTTCTGCTGTCTAATGGTTTTAGAACATTGTTCATGAGAAACATGAACTTGTTGCCTCCGTCTGTCTGGTTTTGATGAGGAAGAGGAGGAGATCAGGTCTGATCGGAGCTGAAAGGGTTAAAGCAAAACCTGCAGAACTCAACAGACGGCTTTAAATGGACCTTTGCTTTTCCTCTTCGCTTTAATCCTCAAACTAGAGCTAAAAAACCTAGAATATCTAGAAACATGTTGAGATTTTCTTTCCCTCATATAGAATAACGACCCAAGCAGTGAAACATTTCAAACCTTTATCTTGTAGTTTAGTTAACAATGATGGAGAACTAAAGAACCTCAGTGTTTGGTCTGGGCTCCTTCTGCGTTAATGATGGAGGAGATCAGCCTGTGGTTCTGCTGAGCTCCAGTTTAGGCCCAGTTTACTTAGATTGCAGCTTCCCTCTGCATTGGTTCTGGTGTCTCATGTCTTCCTCTGGATGATACTCTATAGATTCTCTGGTTCTGTTCAGAGCAGAACAAACATGGTAATTGGACCAGTTTTTGGTACCGTTAGCAGTATGGGCTGGTACCGACTCCTGCTGGGAAATGAAACCAGTACCTCCATAAAGCTTCTCAGGAGAAGGAAGCGTGAACAGCTGAAAATAACCTGTCAGATGACTGTAATAAATGTGGACCTCTGAAAACCCAGAACCAGCAATGAGACGGCCCCTCTGGACTTCCAGCATGGTGGCTTCTGGTCCTCTCCACTCCTCCTTCTGTCTGTCGGACCTTTGTTGCTAAAACAAACTTTACTTTCATCTAAAAAGAAAATGTTGGACCCTGAACAGCCGACTGGTTCTATTTTTTTCAGAACTGGTCAGATGTTTATAGGATTTTAAGTTTGTAGGATCTGATGGATCTTAAAATCTCCAAAAAAATCCAGATTTTCTGACTGAAAATCCCCTGAAGGCTGCGGTTCCCCCGGTTGATAATGAACCTCATCTTATCAGACTTTTTCCTTCCACTGAACTTTCTATGATTGTGCTTGAATACAGAACTCTGTAAACAATCAGCTTCTACTTTGTGGATGGTGTCAGTGAAACCGTCCTGGATGCTGTCGTCTACTGATCCAGACTGAGAGCGTATAGATCTTATAGCCCCGTTTACACGACCCTTTTGAAACCGCGCTGAGAACGGTCGGAGCACTGGAAAGGGCTGGTTATAGTTCCGCAGCAGTGTGTCGCAGTCAGCTTATCACAGATATTTTTGATTTTTGCCCAATTTTGAAGCATGGTCTGGGTTCTCACGCACCTCGCTCTTCTAGCTGGTCCAATTTCACGAGTTATTTTCCACAATGGAGGTCATACAAACAAAAGAAGCCGGTAACGCATCAAACTGATGTAGATTTGACCAATCAGAGGCCTCCTGTCTGCAGTCACTAACAATTTTGGGGAGGTGCAGCAGAGTGTCTAAGTAAGGGGTCATATTTGCGTTTACTGCGAAACACGCAGACGACCTGGTTTTCTGGGTATAAATCCACCTTAACTGAGATAACTGAGTTTAAAAGGAACACAACTGAACCGGACCGGACCGTGCCAGACACAACCGAACCGAGACAAATCTACACTGGGGAAAAAAAACGATCTAGATAAGTCATTTTTTCTTAAAATAAGTGCATTATTTCTTGGATTAAGGATGTAAAAGAGACATTTTGCCAATGGAACAAAACAATTTACGATTAAAATAAGAAAACACCGATAATTGTCTTATTTCAAGTGCATTTTATCTAAATATCTTATTTTAAAAGTAAAAATATTCATTCCATTGGCAAACTATCTTATTTACCTACTCGAATTAAGGGTAAATACGCTGAATTTAAGGCCTTTTCACTTATTTCTAGATCGTTTTTCCAGTGTAGCACTAGTTCAACAGTACGGCTCGGCACGGTTCAGGTGTTGCTCGGTTCTCTGATCTCCTATTAACAGTCAGGTGACTCATTTCGCAGGTTTTTCGTCACAGATTGCTGCACCGTTCACAAAGTGAGCTTCTTATCAGCTTAACAATAGATGGCATCAAAAGAGCGTGGTGCGACCTGGGATGATGCTGAAACCGAGCTCTCATTGACATTCTGGTGGAGGACGCTGTCCAGGAACATAAGTTCCTGAATGTTATGGTTGCTGCCATCTTTGTTTGCGTAAGTCCCGCCTTAAGAGCTGTGGTATCGTCCGAACTCAGCAGGGAAAGTTATCCTGGCCTCAGGAGCAAAATATGGCCCATCATGTTATAAAGTAGAGGCTTTCGGTCTCCGTGTTCTGGATGTTTCACTCTATGTGTAACAGATCTATGGAAGTTTAACTTTCTAAAATGAGGGACCAAAAATCGTGAACATTTTCTGATCATTTCCAACAGTTTGTATCTAAACATTGTAAAAAATAATCTTCTAATATTAATTTAGGATCTTGAATTGTCTTTGGTAGCAGGAGTGGTTTTTGTTCCAGGATTACGGGACGAAGACAGGAAGCTAAAAACGACCAAACACGTCAAACCAGGAAAAGACAAAATAAAACCTGAAAAAGAAAAACTCTACGCTACACTTTGACTTTACTCCAGTGTGGGTTATTATCTTAGAACACAAATAACTGAGACACAGACAGTGCTTTACAACAACAACTAGAACCACAGACGGAAAAAACTACCGACTACTGAAGTCTGTCTGCTTTCTGGTCTCCATGGAAACCAAGGACAGGAAGGAAGTGGGGTTTCAGGCAACATCTGGCGCACAATAGAAATGATTAAAGTTCCTCTGGGCCTTTAGGAGAAGATGAAGCTGTGAAGTTCACCACAGACTGAATGTTCCTCCTCCGTCCGCCTCCTCCGTCGGATCGGACCTCAGCTGGCCCGGTTCTCAGAACAACCCGGGTCCATCATGTCCATGTCCGTCCCCCTGCAGGAGTCCCAGCAGCTGGGGGAAGGCGGAGCGCTCACTGGTTGACGTGGGGCCTCAGGGCTTGGTAAAGTCCCTCAAAGGTGGGTCGGTCCGTGATGTTCCGGCTCCAGCAGCGCATCATCAGCTCAAAGAGAGACGGCGGGCAGAGGGGGGGGGCGTACAGGAAGATCTGGGTCAGAGATCACAGGGAGACACTTCAGTGGAAAAAAAAAATGGACAACAGCTCCCCCTTCTGGTCAAATGCAGAACACCTCTCACATCAGAGCAGGGGCGGATTTAGGAAATTTGGAGC